AGCTATTATGGCATTTGATCGCTATCTTGCCATCTGCCAGCCTCTCCATTACCCCACTCTTATGACTGGACGTCTCTGCTCCAATCTTGTGGTCAGCTGCTGGGTACTTGGTTTCCTCTGGTTCCCAGTCCCTATCATCATAATTTCCCAGATGTCCTTCTGTGGATCCAGGATTATTGACCACTTCCTGTGTGACCCAGGTCCTCTATTAGCGCTCACGTGTACCAGAACCCCAGTAATGGAGGTTTTTTGGGCAATCATAAGTTCTCTGCTCTTATTTATTCCTTTTCTTTGCATCATGAGTTCCTATGCTCTGGTCCTGAGAGCTGTGTTGAGGGTCCCTTCAGCAGCTGGACGAAGAAAGGCCTTCTCCACCTGTGGGTCTCATTTGGCTGTGGTTTCCCTTTTCTATGGCTCAGTGATGGTCATGTATCTGAGCCCAACATCTGAGCATGAAGCTGGAATGCAGAAGCTTGTGACTCTGTTTTATTCTGTAGGAACCCCACTCATTAATCCTCTGATCTACAGTCTTAGGAACAAAGATATGAAACTTGCCTTGCAGAAATTTCTGGGAATATAAAAATTAGAACCTTGGTCAAAAAAATCTTTGGGCAACTGGGTAATCTTTATACTTTTTCAGGTAAAAAAAAATTATGTAAATAACTAGTACCACTCTGAGAATTGTTTATCCTATTATTGAACCTTTTCATCATGGCTATTTTTACTTTTCCTAGGATTGTTAGAGTGAGAAAAGACTTAGAGACTTTATCTAACACCCTCATTTTGCAGATGAAGAATCTGGAGAATGGAAATTTTGAATAATTTGCTTTGGTCATAACTTTATAATGCACAGAAAAATCTTTCTATTTTTTTAAAAAAACTCTTTTCACTCATAAAGACAGAAAAACATAGTAAATTTTTTTTTTAAGTATTGGGGTTTTTAGCATTCAGGTGTGCAGCCATAAAACATCCTTTCATCTGAGAAGGGGAAAAAAGAAATATATATATTTCTGATATATATTACTGATAGAAGTCTAAACTGGTATACTTCAACTTAGGAAATTACAATTTAATGAAATTTGAAATTCACATATCCATTAACTCAGTGATTGTACTTACTCCCAGATACTCAGTCTACACATAACAATCATACATATGTGTAAATGGCACTGTTTGTTATAGCAAAGTATGAGAAAACACATCAATGACCATTTATTGAGATCTGCTTCAATGTTTATGACATGTCCATGCAATGGAATATGATGTAGCATTTCTTAAAGAGGGAGTTTTAGATGTTCAGATATGGAACCACCTCCAAGTTATATCTGTTGTTAAGTGAATAAATTATGAATAGTGTACAAGCTGTCATTGATGTATAAAATTATAACTTTGTGTGTATGTGTTTTTTAAAAAGATAGAATATCTTTCAAATGATAGATAAGAAACCAAACCATGATTGTATTTGGAAACAAGGTGTCTTGGATTCAAGAGAAGGAAAGACTATTTTCATTGTGTATTCTGGTATCTTTGATACAAAATTCTATAGATAATGATGATATCTCTATTGGTAAATGTTCTGAGAATTGCAACCTAAGAAACAGTTCCCCACAATTCCTGGGTTCCTTAGAGAAGCTGTGAAGCAGGCTACCTAACAATACAAACAAAGGAGCCAGAATCCAAAAACTCACAAGCAACATTTTATTCAGACTTCTTGGTTGTGGGGGCAGAATTTGAGAAATTACTTTGTCCTCTGAGGATTTGTGGGAGGAAATAAACTGTGTTAAAGTCATAACGATTCTTTCCTGGATTCCTATATTTACATTCCCTACTGTTCACAAAACATTTAACAAATACCTATAACATGTCAAGTACAGATATAGGAAATGAATCAGATAAGTCATTATGTCACATTTCAGTCCCTCATGGAGTTGACAGTCTAAGATGAGAAAAAATTAAATTGTGAGATGTGCTATGACCAAGAGAGATATAGTTGTTAGAGGAGTCAACTGGGGGACAGTATGTGCAAAGCATGGAGAGGTAAGGGGTGAGAGAGCAGGAAAATGAAGTATTTCCACACAACTAACTATAGCCCTTGGACTACAGGGTCACCACATGATAAAGAGCAAGAGTGTCCCTAGAAAGGGTCTATGAGCCTCTCAAAGAAAACCTGTCTCATGTTTTACAATTTATTGCTACTGCAGGCAAATAAACCTGACTATAAAATATGATAAAAATTAAAATCCAAAATGCATTTTTAAAAACAGTATGTGCAAATAAAAATGGACTATTTTATGACTAAAATGTGAAAATCACTCTTCCAGAGACTTGGAACTTCAAACAGTCCATCTGATTTCCCTGAGGGTAAGAACCAAGAAAGCAGGGAAAGTACTTCAGTTCTTTGCACTGCCCGTTACATTCAGCATTATATTACAAATGCATTTGTAACACAATAATTATTTTATAATAAAATACCTTCATTTCTTTTTTATTTATATAATACTAGTTCATTACAAACATTTTTAAACAATAAATTATAAACAATACAATCCCACATTTCTAAGTTAAGTAGCATTAAATTTTAGGTAGCCATCTCTTAAGATGTGTCTATGTGCATACGTATATAGAGAGTATATAATTTATATTAATATATGTAATTTTATATATATATACTTTTACACATACACACATACAGTTTTACATATCTGGTCACAATAGACAATAGACATCTGGTCTCTGGAAGCCATCCTTCCTTTTTCTTTTCCTCTCCCTTCTTCCCTGCATTCCTTCCACCCTTCTCTCCACAATGGTATCACATTCTAGTTAAATAAACAATAATTAATAATCTAATGGGTATGCTTCTACATTATTCTTAATGAACATAACACTGTACATTTATACACACACACACATATACACACAAATATTCTAAAATACTTGTGTTTTTATGTTTATGAGGTAGATTCCCAGGAATGTATTTTTGGATCAAAGACCAGTACACATAATAGATATTGTTAGCTTGCTTTCACTCAAGGCGATACACAATCATATCTCCACCATCAATGTAAGTACCTATTCACCTCTAGAAGCTAATAAATAACTTTAAATGTGGCAGCTTGGTAGGTTAAAAGAGATAGCCCACTTCCTTGACTAGTGATAAGATTGAGCTTTTTTTCTCTTATGTCATTAGCCAATGATTTTTCTCTACTGTGATTTGTCTGTTAACATCCTTATTCATTTTTTAATTGTTTATGTTTTTCTTTTAAAAAAACTAATTTATTTTAGGTATTAACACTTTATCTGCCAAGTATATTACAATATTTTTCTCTTTTTTCATTGTTGTTCATAATATCTTTACTAAAATGTGGTTACACATATTGAATATTGTTTCTTTGTACTAATAGCTAGAGATTTATAAAGAATAAAGACAAATCTACTTGGATTGTTGAAAAACAATTATTCTTCCCTATGCCTCTTCACCAAAACAGAAAAAGATGGAAGTAGCTATTGGTTATACAAAGGCAGTTTGTGAGCTTTGATTAAGTCTAATTCCACAAAAGGTATGACTGACTGCAAGATTCAGATTATTATCAAGTAGGCTAGGGAAGACAGGGTTTGAGACTGAACATCACTACAGAACAGGTTAACTCATGATGTAATAATTATCTGCATTTTAACTGAACTCCCAGATGTGGGACTCAGGAAATGGAGTATGTATTCTGTGATGAGTATGAGGGTACAGGATAGAGCATCAGTGGGTCCATGTCACACAGGAAGTGGAAAATAATGATAGGGAAAAATGAGAATTAAGCATATGAGGATGTGAATGAGCAATCATGTGGACACTGGAATACCTAGAGCCATTCATGACAGTGGGACAGTGCATTTGATGTTCAGTTACCATCATGAAAGAAAGCCAGCAGCATTCAGATGTGTCCAGGGAAATGAAGCAGAAATGAGCAAAGCAGCCAGGGAAGGAGATGGTGTTGGACTGAATGTTGATAAATATGTTGTGGACTGTGCAGGGGACATACAAGAATGCAATCATTGCCCCAACAATTCATCAACACAGGCTGAAGAGCAATGGACCCAAACACCCCTGACCTGGGTTTGAATTCTAGCTCTGCCAATTACTAGTTGTGTAATGGCAGAAAGTGACTAAGATCCTAAGAGCCTCAGTTCCTGCATGTAAAAGGTAAAATCAAATCTAATTACTGTTAAATCCTAGACAAACAGCATTTATTTTTGCCTTGGGCTGGGAATGGGGGGGAAAGTTACACCAGAAGTGTTTATGGTCAGTCTTTAACTCACAATTCAGTAAAGCTAAAAAGAAAGTGACAGAAGCTTGCTGACTTACTGAATAACTTACTTTTAAACATTGGTAGGAGATAAAGTGATATACGAAAGATAGGGCTATCAACAGACAATCCAGAGTCCTCCCTGGAACCAGCCTTGCCTGAGCCTGCCATGGACTGGAAAGATTACAAGAACTGGGTCTACATCTACACTGCCCAGAACCCGAATGGTATGCAGAATAATAACACCCCAAAGATATCCATATCTTAATCCCTAAACCTGTGAATATGTTACCCTGCATGGCAAAAAGGACTTTGAAAATACGATTGAATTAAGGCTCTTGAGACAGGAAGACAGTCCTGGATTACCTGGGCGGCCAATCTAAACATAAAGGCCTTTATATGTGAAAGTGAGAGGCAGGTGAGAGAGAGTAAAAGAAGAAGGTGTGACAATGGAAGCAGGGATTAAAGTTACAGAGAAGTTTGAAGATATTACACTGTTGTCTTTCAATATGGAAGAAGAGGACAAACGAGGTAATGCAGGAAATATCTAGCAGCTAAAAAAAGGCAAGGGAATGGATTCCCTTAGAGCCCCTATAAAGAACACAGTCCTGCTGACACCTTAGATTTAATCCAGTGATACCTATTTCAGACTTCTGTCTTCCAAAATTCTAAGATAATATATTTGCATTGTTTTCAACCACTAAATGTGTGGTATTTGTTATACCATCAATAAGAAATTAATACAACTAACTGAACAGGAATCTATACTATTTGAGTTGTGGCAATATTCTCAAGGAAACTGTGTGCCACCTAGGAGGATATGAACATATCTTCTGTTTAGATTGTGTAAGTGAATATTTTGGAAATTAATGATCAAATGCTAATCAGCTCAGCCAGAAGAATCAGACAACATGATCCAACTTTGTAGAAAACTTCAAATACATGGCAATAAGCTTACAAAGTTAAAAGAAGACACACCTAATAAACCCACACATATACAATCAATTAATCTTTGGCAAGAGCATCAAGAATACAAAGTGGAGAAATGGTAGTCTCTTCAATAAATGGTGTTTGGAAAACCAAAAATCCACATGCAAAAGAGTAAAACTGAAACCATATCTTACACCATAAACAAAAATCAACTCAAAGTGCATTAAAGATTTAAATGTAAGAACTGAAACCGTAAAACCCCTAGAAGAAACCATAGGGGAAAAGATTCTTACCACTGGACTAGGCAAAGATTTTTTGTATACAAAATCAAAAGCACAAGCAACAAAAGCAAAAGTCAACAAGTGAACATACATTGATCTAAAAAGCTTCTGAACAGTGAAGGAAACAAACAAATTAAAAAGGCAACCAAGATAACCTACAGAATGGGAGGAAATTTTTTGCAAACCATATATCAGGTAAGGGGTTAATTTCCAAAATATATAAAGAACTTAGGCAACTTAATAACAAAAAAAAAGAAAACCAACCTGATTAAAATTGGGCAGAAGAACTAAATAGACAGCTTTCCAAAGAGGACAT